CCTTTAGCGTGTGTGCTCTTACGACTCTTCACAGGGCTGCCCTAACCCTGTCCTGATTCCCTTTCTTTATAACAGGGCCCCCCAGGTCCCCCAGGCAAAGATGGTGTTAACGGTGCTGATGGCCCTCCCGGCCCTCCTGGCCCCCCTGGCTCCCCTGGCCCTCCTGGCCCCCCTGGTCTGGATGGGGTAAGGTGTCTTCTATATTTTTAACTTTTATCTGACTTTAGTGTCCTTCTCTTTTGGAAAAAGAATCTTGCTGTGAAATTTATTTTTAGCAGTTAAATGGGGAAAAATCTTCTATTTGGAAATTAGTATAATTTATTTCATTTCTTTGGTTTCTTCGTTTAAGGTTCTGCTTTGCCTACCTTCTTTGAGGCCTTGTCAATTACAGGCCTGGTCTTTGTGTTCACTGAAGGTAGCTGCAGCCATCAGCACCATTATTTAATTTGGGGGTTTAATATCTTTTATCAATTCGGCACAAATAAGAGGTGTTGCATTATTAAAGAGTTTGATTAGATTGAATTACATAAGCGAAGCCCCTGATCTTAAGCAATTTCACAAACATCTGACCTTCTTTATTCTCTTTGGCTTGGAGTCTGCTGAACCAACATTCAAAGCAGTTTTAGGTTTAATTTGCTTGAAACTAAATTGAGAAAAGTACATTTCCCCTTTTCATTAATATCTTCTTTTAGCTTTATGTCTTTGACAACAGTATGAGTGCCAAATGGCCTCGCTGCAGGAAGGAAAACATATTTGCTTAATTGGTTAGCACTATGAATCAGATTCCTGATTCTAATACCCAACCGTACGCCTGTAAAATAAGACCTTTCTCTTCCAAAGATCTTATTATGATTGCTTATCTACTGAGTGCATTAGAAAGCACCTTCTTTAATACAGTTACCTCTCAAAGGGAGATCTTTAACAGGGAAGTTATTACTGTGAACTATTTTTTAAAAGTTTAATCTTCTAAGGAGCATTTAAATTTCCGTATGACTTGAAAACTCTTTATATCCTTTTTATGAAATTTTAGCCAGAACAAAGAAGTATCTTGGTGGCTTGTGGGCTGGGGCAGCAGCTGCCAATACTGCGTGGTCCCCAGAGCTCTGCCTCAGCTTTTCAGGGACTGTAAAGCTTTAGGGGACCATCCTTCTTCACTCTAGAGGTAGGCAATGAATGCACAGAAACAGATTTCTCAGGGCAAATGGGTCTGAACAGTAAGAGGGGAAGCTCTCCATTTCAGTCTATGTCAGGAACTCACTACTGAATTCTAACCCATTTCTAGATGAAACACGGCTCTCTTAAACAGTGTCAGGAAACTCATGAAAAGCAAATTGGAAAACTTAAGTGCATAACCATTAACATATATATTTGTGTGTGTATGTGTGTTTTATTCCCTCCAGAAATTTGCTGCCCAGTATGCTGACAAAGGAGTCTCATCTGGCCCTGGACCAATGGTATGTCTATCTCTTTTTATCCTAGGGGGCAAAAAAGAAGCTTACCTAGGGAATTTATGCTAAACCTTGCAATAATAATTAAGTGAACACTCCATTCTCAGATCGAACGACAACTCCCTTTTCTATACTTAAATATCAAGAAAGGTTAGGTTTTAATTTTTTCTCTACGAACATGCCTCATAAAAAAATGAGTTCAGATACTTATGTCTAAGAAATGATCTTTGGACATACCATCTCCCAGGTAAATGAATTTAACTTCAAATACTAATATCTATACATTTCCCTGTATCTTTCCACATCCCTTAAAATGTGAAGCAGCACTAAGAGCAGAATAATGTACTGTGCTCCCTGAACCTGTTGGAAAGGACCGACAGGTCCTAGCTCAGCACAGGTAGTTAAGGGCAGAATTAACCTACAGGCACAATGTATATGAGACAACACATGGTTCATGTATTTAGTCCTTACTTCCTTAGTCACAAGAGTTTACCAGGCGCCCCCAGCAGGTTCAGAACTACAGTACAGATTGACTCAGCTAGCAGCAAATAACAGCAGTTTGATTCACCCTCAAGGACTTGAGGATGTAAGCAATGTTTTCTTTTCCTCCGTTCTCATGAAAATTCCTTTTCTTGTCCATTTATTAAAAACCAATGTAGAAGAGAATGAGTCAAATGTAGCATTCAGGTCACTCAGCACACATCCTGTCATTTGTGTAACAATGTATAATGCCTTTCTGTGTATCAAGATGATGACCCAGCTAACAAATGAAGCTTCTCCCAAACATTACTGAGGTGTGATAAAGAAAAAATAAACATGATCATGAAAAATGTATAATGGTTTGTATGAAAGAATGAAAATGTTCCAGATATAAAAACATTAGATTGATTAAGTGCTGCAGAATTTAATACACATGCACACAATTTGGTGATTCTAATTATTTGTTTTCCAAAGACATTTATCTGTTAGTTATCATGGTCTTTAAAACACAACTCTTACCTGGGTCCTACATCAGCACTCTATCTTCACAAGTTATTCTCCTGAAGCTAATGGGCCGAAATAAACTAATATACTAGAAGGGCAAGACAATATTTTCTGTAAATTAAAACTCTCACTTGTAAAATAATGTAGCTTTAATTGATGATTTCCAATTTCCTGATTTTTCCCAGTAATTTAAAATGTTCATTTCTGAAGTGAAAAATGGAAGCATTCTTCTGGCTTTGTGTGTATGAGACATTTGAAATGAGTTGTTTCTGCTAATGGTGGACATTACTCATTGTAAAGTAGAATCCATTTCTCAAGAAGAGGCAAAGTGGGAAATAAAGCAGGAGTAGATGTCGTCTTGTTTTAAAAATTAAAATGGTGGACATACGCTGGAGAAATTAAAATGGAATTTAGATTCCCTTGTCTTTACAACTTCTTTCTGGGGAATATCAAGCAGAATATTTCACTTTAAAATAACAGTGAAATATAATTTAAGCTTGTACATCTACACACTTCCACACGCATATGCAATCAACAGATATGTGTTTAACAAAGACAGAAGATAGGCAGCAATAAAGTGTTAAAATAATTTTCCATGTTGGAAAATCAATAACTGCAAAACCCCATAGGGTCTTTTTCTGAATTAATCATAGTTCGTCTCACAGCCTCCACAAAATAAAATATCCCTTATGTAAATGAAGTTGTTGAAAATAGAGAGAAAGATGAATAAATACAATTAAAAATTCATGATGTCAAAGAAAATTATACTTAATGGATACCTAAAAACTATTTTTATTGAAAAGTGACAGCTTCTTTTAACATTGAAGCGATTTCTAAAACAAAATAAATACTTCTCGTAATTAAAATAATGTGCTTCTTAAATAAAATATGTAGAATCTCACTATAGTCATTTAATAAAGTAGATAAGCTCAGCTGCAGAGCCCTCATGGTTGATGTATTGTAAGCAAATTACTCCAGACTTGTGCATGAAGTATTTTTATCTGTAGGAGAAATGGGTCCTATAGATGAGTTTGCATAAGCGTTGGTTCCTACAAAGGTAAAACAAAACTACATTTAGCTCAAAACTCATAACATTCTGTTTTTACCTTACATTTGTGTTAGAGAAAAAAAGAAGAAGAAGAAGAAAGAAAACAAGCTACTGTCATTCGTGTTATGTTTTCAATATCTTATGATAGATTTCTCCAACAGGCTGCCTCAATAATAATTTATTTTTCCTTCACCCCTCATTACATCCACTTTTGCTTGACATTTTCATCAGTCATCAACAGCCCTGAAAAGAGCTTTAAGGTTATAATAAACCTCCTTTTAATCATTAAGAAGGACTTTTGATCCTTTTCAATTTATGGCCCTGTGGCAATAAAAATATCAATTTCTTAGCTAAGTATGGCATGGAAAGATGACATATGATGAAGGGAATCTAACTGAAATTCTTTGTCAGCCATTATATTTTCTGTTGTTGTGCAAAGATTAATTCACTTTATTGCTTTAGAACCATCTCCAGATATCCAATTTTCACATCTCAAAAAACTTATGACTTCCCGCACCCAGTTCTCACTGACTTCTGAAGATTTGGTTGGTAAAAAAGGAGAAGTGAAGGGCAGGAAAGAGTGCAGGAAATTTGGGTTCTTAAATGCTTCCTTGGAAACTATGAACTAAAACCAGGATGGTTTTGCTCATCTGTCCATAAAAAAAAAAAAAAAAAAAAAAATTCCAGCAGCTCAATGGTATCTTTTCTAATTCCAGTTTGCCCAGTCTGGCTAATGGGAACTGCAAACAAGGACATGAGTTCTTAGTATTAACTGTGTATATCGTCTTTACAGGGCTTAATGGGACCCAGAGGCCCTCCTGGTGCTGTCGGAGCCCCTGTAAGTACCAAAATCATATAATCATTCTTCTATAAAAGGAGAAAGTTAGACACTCCTCTCAGGCAGTGAGAGTGTTGGTCAATGGCAAAAAACTTGTCTAACATGCGATGAACTGAGCTTGACTCCAGAACTTCCACATAAAGAGATAGATAAATGTATGTTACTTCTCCCTTACCTTAGGGCCCTCAAGGTTTCCAAGGACCTGCTGGTGAGCCTGGTGAACCTGGTCAAACGGTGAGAGCATTTCCCCCTTGTGTGAAAAAAAAAATGTCTTTGAGGGGAGCTTTGTGAACACAGTCTTAACCTCAATGCATCTCCCACTTCCTTAGGGTCCGGCAGGCTCTCGTGGTCCAGCTGGCCCTCCTGGCAAGGCTGGTGAGGATGTAAGTGTTTACTCTCAAGTTCTTCCAAAACAACTTTTAAATACTCCCTTCTCAACTGGAGTATCTGGATCCAAATTAAGTTCCATGCTGAAAGCTCAAAATGCCTGAGTCTCCTCATATGGGAAATATTACTTTAATGAAATACTAATTAACTTGCTTGTGCTCGGGAGAGACAGCTGTTAATAAAACATGCATTTGAGCTCATATCATTATGTGTTCCTTTCTCTTCTGACGGTTTACCGAGTAAAGGTTGACCCAAGGCTGCTTTCATGTTTTAGGGTCACCCTGGAAAACCTGGACGACCTGGCGAGCGAGGAGTCGTTGGACCACAGGTGAGATTGTTGACAGCTGTATGTGGTCCATAGTCAGTTATAAATGAACACGCATGTGATGGCAGCCCAGGTGTCACTCACGCTGGTGACATTCATTTTGAACACATCTGAGACGGAAAAGAGCCAAGAAAAGAAAGCAGATATTTTATTCATGCTCATGAAGTAACATCGGTGACAGCAAACAGACAATGAATAACTAAACCGTGTTTCCTACAAACGCCACAATCTTAGTTACTCATATTATAGCTATTAGCTTGTAGCTCCATGCTTAAAAACATACCCGCCTTTGATTCCAAACTTGAGTCTTGAGGAGAATTGGTTTGGAAAGAGGAAAGTAATGTCCTTTTAACTTCTAAGAAAACTTTATTCACCTTGCTGCGATTTTTCTCCCCAAGGGAGCTCGTGGTTTCCCTGGGACTCCTGGACTTCCTGGCTTCAAAGGCCTTCGAGTGAGTAAATTCTTCATGAGAAAAAAGCGCTGATGGTAGGGGTGGTAAGAATTCAACTGTATTTAAATCCCTGGGCAACACAGCCTAGCTTCCATGTCTCTGAATTTTGAAAATGCTGTAAATAAAGTAGGGCCAAAACTCTTTAAAAACTGAGGTTAATGAAAAAAAAATGTAGATTATAGCTTATACATAGATTGTGTATATTTTAAGTACTTAAAACTCTCTGAAAACCAGAAACTTAGGGTGGTGAGGATGTGAGGAAGCTTGTCCAGCATCCTTCCCCTCTTGCGTGCATGCAGGCAAAGCGGTTGCCCCGGGGCTGGACCACTGGACTCTGCTCTACTTCAGCAGCCACAGGGTCTGTCCAGGAGACGTAATAGTTGCAGAGATGGAAGGCTCTGGTCTGACTGAGATTACAACATGACAGCATTTTTAAAGCGCCCATTGTCTTTCAGGGACACAATGGTCTGGATGGATTGAAGGGACAGCCTGGTGCTCAGGGTCTGAAGGTAAGCACTGAGTTGGGAACACTGTCTGTAAGAAAATCATTCGACTCTTCCATTGCCACCAAGAAGGCTAATGTACTGAGGACATCCCACATTTTGTAAACTATCTTGTCTCCTCATCTATTCTTCAAATCCGTCAATGGTGGAAAAGTGAGATTCTATGACAGAAGGCCAATTACTAATATTTATTTAACTTAATATTTATTTAAATAATCAAATGAAATAAATGTTAAAATTTTCTTCCTCCATCTCCTTTCCTCCTCTTATACTGTCAATCTCTGTAGCCAAAATACAAGTAAATAAACATGTAATCAAATATTAGAACATGGCATGCCATTTTAAAGTGTAAATTCTTCTTTGCCTTTCACTAATTAGGTGGGTACATTCACGTCACAATACACTTTTCAACGTCTTTCCTCTGATTTATCTGTGCACACTCAAAAAAAATTTTTTTTAATTAGGTAATTAAAGTCTCAGCAGTGTGTTATCTCTTGGCTAGCCTCTTCTCTGACAGCATTTCCAACCATAAAATGTTCTCTTTCTTATTAAGGAGATAATGTGATATTAAAGTGAATACCAACGTAATTACAAATTAATGAGTAACAAATGCTAGCGAGACCAGAGATGAACATGAATATGGAGAGTCTGGTCTAAGTCCCCAGCTGCCACACAAATGGATAAGGTCAAACCCATTCTCCCATGAGCCCATTACTATAGCTCAAGCTGCCTATCACAAGATTGTACAATTTCAGAGCTAAAAGGCACTTTGTAGATGCCCTCATCTTGGGGAAACTGAGGTTAGGAAGAGCTCATGACTTGACCAGAGTCATGTGTCTAATGGTTAAAAAGGAAGACTCGGAGATCTCATGCTACTCATTCTTAAAGGATATTCTTCACACAGAATCATATACCCTAGAGCCAGAGAAACAGCTCAGCGGTAGAGCACTTGCTTAGCATATGCCAAGCCTTGGATTTGCTCCTCAGCATCGCTCTATGAATTAGAATATCTTGAGGGAAAGTTTCTTTATATCCCCCAAACATGAAATTACCTGCCACTACCTAGTTCTCAGGTTGAGAAACAAATATCACTGTGACAGTTCTAAAAACTATTATGATGCTTTGACTTTCCATGTAATGAAAACGATAACACTGAGCATTCAAGTACCTTTGAAGAAGGTAAATTTGGTTGTACTGAAAGAAAATGTATCATCTGTTTTCTCTATTTAAATAATATTACTAGGCTGGGCAGTGGCGGGACATGCCTTTAATCCTAGCACTTGGGAGGCAGAGTCAGGCAGATCATTGTGAGTTCAAGGCTAGCCTGGCCTACCAAGTGAGTCCCAGGACAGTCAGAACTATTACACAGAGAAACCCTGTCTTGAAAAACCAACTAATCATTATTATTCCTAATCTGTGGAGCTGCTTCCAAATGTCTAGATATAAAGAGAAAATTGAAGAGGAGTAAAATCAAGTAATCAATGTCTTTTTAGTACCTTAGCTTTGGGCATATTTAAATAAAAATTCTTATCATATTTTTTAAAAACATATGTGTCTGAGATCATTGGGAAACAATGTATACAATGTATAAAAATATGTTTAAAATTGCACAAATGGCTCAAACTGGTACAATGGAGTAAAAATTGCACAATCAGAAAAACGATCTACAGAATGAACAAAGATTCCATTTGTCTTCTGCATATAGGGTGAACCTGGTGCTCCTGGTGAAAACGGAACCCCAGGTCAAGCAGTGAGTATTGATCAATTCATTGGAAATCCAAATGTGCACCCCTAGCTTTCTGAAACTTCTTTAGAGTTTTTGCTAGTTACCGTTTCTCCTAGCACTGTATTCTTGCTATTTCTTATGCCTCTCTGCATGTTAGAATGAGACCTGATCAGTGAATCCTTACATGTGTTAGAAACTGGACAAAGCAAATGCCACCTGTGGCTTTTAAAGATTAGCAGTCTGGGCTTTGTTAACAATATTTCTGCTTCTAGGGAGCCCGAGGGCTTCCTGGTGAGAGAGGGCGTGTTGGAGCTCCTGGTCCAGCTGTAAGTGGTTCGGTTTTTTTACTTCCCTTTCGATCTTCTTGCAGAACCGTCTAATGGCAGTTGCCTGATTTCCACCTGACTGTCCGTCTTTCCTTCCTTCACAGGGTGCCCGAGGCAGTGATGGCAGCGTTGGTCCTGTCGGCCCTGCTGTAAGTTCTGACCCTGGGGACTTGAAAATGCGGGGCAGGAGCTGTCTCCCTTAACTCTCAGGAAATGACAACATTTTGGACCCTTTCGCCAAAAGTTCCCTGGGGTCTTCGGGAGCTTCAAATCCCCTAGAGCTACTACTGATCGATGTATAGAGTAAAACTCATCCTGTGTTGGAAACCTTTACTGGCTTTCATTGACAGACCTTTGTGCTTTGTTTTGTTTTGTTTTCCTAATCTACTTCAAGGAAATGTCTTGTGCCTTCTGCTTTGATTTCAGGGTCCCATTGGGTCTGCTGGCCCTCCGGGTTTCCCAGGCGCTCCTGGTCCCAAGGTAAAAGCATTGCTTGCTGTCACCACCTTGATAAGTTCTTTAGCGTGATGTGAATTGTCAGTGTTGTTTGCAGGGCAACTCCCTTTCTCAGCCTCACTTTAAAAAAAAAATGAGTACGGAAGAGTTTTCTCTAAGTCTGCAATAGACATTTCCGTACATTATGTAGAGGTAGAACAGCGGGCTAGAAACTGAATCTCTGAAAGCCCTGTGCAATGTGCTTCCCGAGCGGGCCTGGACTTTGTGGGAACCGCTCAGACTGAGACTAAGCCACAGCGACTGTAGGTGTAAGGCCAGAACGTCAGCGCTAGGCTTGCAAATCAGACAGTCACCCCGTAACGTTGTGACGAACCAGAGCTAAGCGGTTGCTGTTCTGACAAAATCTCCTAAAAATTGCCGATAAAATAAATAACAGAGGTGCGCTGCTTCGTCACTTAATGCTTATTCCCCACCCCGTTACTGTCATTCTTAGGGTGAACTCGGGCCTGTTGGTAACCCTGGTCCTTCTGGTCCTGCTGGTCCCCGAGGTGAAGTGGGTCTCCCAGGTCTTTCTGGCCCTGTCGGACCTCCTGTAAGTAGTCATTGACAACACTGAAGATGGGCTCAGAGGAGGTAAGAAATACTCTAATTCAGTGAGTTCCCTTCTCCTTTCTCTTATAGGGCAATCCCGGAGCAAATGGCCTCACCGGTGCTAAGGGTGCTTCTGTAAGTACAGCTGGGGAGCTGACACTTGCAGCTCTGGGTTAGAGGCACTTACTTAGGACAGCCCCTGCAGCCGGCTTCCTTCTGAGACACATTTTGGTTTTGTCTTTTGTTGTGTTTTCTTCCCACAGGGACTCCCTGGTGTTGCTGGGGCTCCTGGTCTCCCTGGTCCCCGAGGCATTCCTGGCCCTGTTGGTGCCGCTGGTGCTACTGGTGCGAGAGGACTTGTTGTAAGTGGTCACCCCTGTGGCGTTTATATCCTAGGATATTAGCCGTAGTATTTTATCTGTGCCTTGACTTTTTCTTGCATTTTTTTTTTTTTTTTTTTCTTCCTTCTGTAGCGTTAAGCAAAAGTGTTAGGTTTTTTTTATAGCTACATTATCTACCTGCATAGTCCCTCCTCGGCTTGTGTATGGAACTTCCTTCTTTCTGTTAGCTTAGAAGCTTAATAAAAAAAAAAAAATAGATAAGGTAAACTCAATGTGGGTATCATCCTTTCACCAATACCGTTTGCCTACATGCAGGTCTTTTTAGAGAACTTAAGTTTAAACATCCCAAGAGACTTGGCTGCTAGAGAGCCCTGACACACTTCTGTCATCTGACCCCTGTTTCTTTTGTGTCTTAGGGTGAGCCTGGTCCTGCTGGCTCCAAAGGAGAGACTGGTAACAAGGGTGAGCCTGTAAGTGGTTTCGTCATCGCTGTTTGGTTAATTTATCCATATCGATTTTTAATCCAACTTTGGTAGCTAGATATGATATGAAAATATTTTTCTGCTCTTCTTATTTTTTTTTGAAACAGGGCTCTGCTGGAGCTCAAGGTCTTCCTGGTCCCAGCGGTGAAGAAGGAAAGAGAGGGTCCCCTGGAGAACCTGGGTCTGCTGGTCCCGCAGGGCCTCCTGGGCTGAGAGTAAGTTCTGAAAACTCCAGACAGAGCAGGCCACGATGCAGTCCCTTGGCTCAGAATCGGTCAGAATTTCTGTGTGTGTTTCCTAGATGAAAGAGCATCTGCCTTCCATCTGTTTTATTAAATTAGTGACTCTCAATTTGGTATGTTATTAAATTGATCTGGAAACAATGTTGACCTATTTTTGCCGGATGCTCATCTGTGCATTCCCTTGGCATTTGGGTAAAGTGTCTTGGCTTGGCGTGCCCCGCTATCTTCCTCTTAGGAGAAGTCAAGGCAGGGTTTAGGAAAACTATCCTATGAGACTCGAAGGCTTCTGTAATCCTCTGCTGTCTTGCATCCTTTCCCACAGGGCAGCCCTGGTTCTCGGGGTCTTCCTGGAGCTGATGGCAGAGCTGGTGTGATGGTAAGCTGTCCTTCACTTACTTCCCAGGAGAGACCTTCATACTGCCGGTGCTGGGTGTGTCTTGGCACCACAGCAGCAGCCCCCTTATTTGGCCCCTCTGCTATTAACAGGGCCCTCCTGGTCCTCGAGGTTCAACTGGCCCTGCTGGAGTTCGAGGTCCTAACGGAGATGCCGGTCGCCCTGGGGAACCTGGTCTCATGGGACCCAGAGTAAGTTTCAGATAAATCCTCATGAGGTCCTGTCTGGAGTTGGTGCCTTCTTCAAAGGGCTGCTTAACACTGATGGTAACGACAAAATCATCTAAAGTAAAATTGTTAGTCCACTTGCTGAGGCTTACCTTTTTAACTCAACTTTGGCAGAGTCCCATAGATGGTTCCATGCAGTTGGCTAGTCCTGGGGTTTCCTGTGTATCACGTGGATCAATGACCAGGAGGGTTTGGGAAAACTACATCTATTTTAAAGTACCCAAATTAATTTGGTTCTCTTACCAGCATGTACAGTTTAACTTAAGTTGTGAGTTTTATATGAGGTATTCATGAATGAATTAAGGCTATACATTATTCGTTTATTAGATTCTTTTTTTTTTTCTTAAGTGAAACCATTTTTCCAGCAATCATAAAGTGCTATAATGTATTAAACACCACACCATTTTTTTTTCTCCATTTTCTCTTATGGGTGAATATCAACTGTAATTTTAAACCATAAACAAGTAAAAGGGAACAACAAATGTAGCAGAAAAAAAAACAAACAAAACAAAAAAGCATCTTGGAAATTGCATACCAAAAGTATCAGTTTTTTCCTTCCTAACATGGAATAGATATATTTTGCCCATATGATAGGTTGCTTAACAGTTTCTTTTGATGCCTATAAATGAATCAGTTGCAAAAAAATTAAATACACACATAAAAAAAAAAACAAAGAAAAGAAAAGAAAGAAAGAAAGGTTTCAGAGTTCTTTTCATACTTTCCAGCAAGGCTGATATTTCTAATGATTCACCCTTGGCAGCAAACAAAAAGTGAGGAGAAAGTGCTGTGTGAGATTTCAATTAATTTGAGCCTGGAGTGTGGGAGCTAAAGTACCAATATGAAAGGACCCTTGTTTATTTTATAGGGTCTTCCTGGGTCTCCTGGAAATGTTGGCCCATCTGGCAAAGAAGGACCTGTGGTAAGTATTGCTCATTTCCCATTACATTTTCAAGAACACTCATTGCACCCTCATCAAGTCTATTTTTGTGGCTTATTTATACATGAATACATTGAAAATAAATATCCGCCACCTCTACATCATCTGGGGACAGAAAGTAATAGATTGTAATTATGGAGTCTAAATAGATGCAGGACAGAAAGCAGAGCAGGGATAAGAAAACCATGACTGGGGAAATTGAAGCAGGTGACGAGGGGATAGAGAGGGAAGAGAGAAGGGTAAATTGCATACATATGAGATTGAACTGAGTGTCTGTGTACTGACATCCTATTTAGAACAGGGAAATTGAGTCATAATTTATTGACACTTTGTACAGGAAGCTTTGTGCATTCAGAAAACTACCCTGCTCCCTCATTTGACAATATCCTAAGCTTGACAGGTGAGAGCTGTGAGGACGCTAAGTAAACGTTAAACTCTGGTTTCAGGGCCTCCCTGGCATTGATGGTAGACCTGGACCAATTGGCCCAGCTGGGCCCAGAGGTGAAGCCGGCAACATCGGATTCCCTGGACCCAAAGGTCCCTCTGTAAGGATAATGACTTCTTCTCCCTCAGTACCTATTTCTTGATCTCTGCCACAGTCAAATATTTCTCTTCTGCTTCTCCACACAATTTACCTCAAGGCAGGTCCTTTCAACACGAGAAGGGTGTAGAGCATTCGTTCCATTAACACCTTTCCTCCACGGTGGCTTTGCACACTGCTGGAAACCCACCCGAGTTACACACCTCTACATTCTTTTTTTGTACAGAGCTTCATGGTATTGGATCATGCCTTGGATAATAAACTGAAAGCTGAAAAGTATCAGTAAAATATACAAACAAACAACAGAATCAGCATTTCAAAATTTTTGTCACAGAAAAATGGACATAAAATCTTATGTTCTATTATACATTATTTTCCCCTTTCCTTTTCTCCCTCCAACCCCTCCGCTGTATTTGTCCTTGACTGTGTTCCTTCTTGATATCATGGCCTCTTTTTCTTTTGAGTGTGTGTGTGTGTGTGTGTGTGTGTTCGCACGCACGCGTGCTCATGTGTTGCTTTTTACAGTTTTTAATGATTTATTTTAATTTTATTTATTTATTTATTTATTTATTTGTTTGTTTGTTTGTTTATTTATTTATTTATTTATTTTTAGGGTGATGCGGGCAAACCTGGTGATAAAGGCCATCCTGGTCCTGCTGGTGCTCGGGTAGGTGTTAACTTCTAAAAATACCCCTTCTCTGAGGCTATCTCCTATCATTATGTTACTTTCAAAAGTGGCATCCTAAGAGCCTTTTGCCAGGGGGAAATGGTTTTATTTTGAGCTCCATGGAGAAAACTATAGCAAGTCAGAGCATGTCGTTTAAGGATGCAGATGCATCTGGCCTTTGTTATACTCACATTATGATTAAGAGGTTATGCTGATGGTCTCTGTCCTTTGTGAAGTGCCTCCTGCTGGTGGACTTCTCTTGAACCACATCAGAAGTTGAGAGACAGCATGTCGAACTGGATGAAACACACGCACCATGAATTTCTTTCATTCTGAAATGACAAAACGAGGCTTGTGAGATTAGCTCTCAAGGTGCTTTGAAGCTATGTAAGCTATCTGTCTCGTGTGTAACCATGAACCTTTCTGTTCTGTTAAACATTTTTAGGGAGCTCCTGGTCCTGATGGGAACAATGGTGCTCAGGGACCTCCTGGACCCCAGGTGCGTACTTCTCCCTGCTCCTTTCCAAAGCAGAGCAAGCCTTGCCCTTCAGAGCAGCCATTCTTTCCATAGTTAAGACAATACATTGACACCAATGCCATCTCCTCTGTCATTGACATCAGTGCTATCTAACTTTGTTCTATCATTCTATCTAACTTTGGTACTATTGTTTTCGGAAATTAACCTCTGGCTTCCTACATATGTGATAACAATGCAATAAGAATACTTTGATTTTTAAAAAAATAGCACAATCGTCATAGCTATCCTAGTATGTATAGACAAATAGCTGGTTTTTCCTTCACAAGACTGGACTCATGACGTTGGCTTTAGACTCTTGACATCAACACATGTTTTTGTGATGTTAATAGGGCATCCAGTAACATGATGCTATCTCTTCTGTCACTCTCAGGGTGTCCAAGGAGGCAAAGGTGAACAGGGCCCTGCTGGTCCTCCAGGCTTCCAGGTGAGTGGACAAGACTCTGACCTTCACCACACTGTTTCCATCCAATTCACTGTAACACCACCAACACCAGAATATGGCTTCACAATGGACGCAGAAGGCACAGTTATTCGAAGCAAACTTTTCTGGAGCGATTTAATAACACACAGCAGTGTTCATGGTGTTATTCCCTTTGTAAGCCCCAAATTAGCAGCTCCCCTGAATATGACTGCAATTTTCATGTCTCTTCATTTAGGGTCTCCCTGGTCCCTCGGGTGCTGCTGGAGAAGCTGGCAAGCCAGGAGAAAGGGTGAGTAAACTGAGTGATGAAGACTTCACTAAATCTAATCATTTCCCTCCTTTAAAATGCCCTATTGCCGTGTAATTACAACACAAAAATTTCATATTTCACACACTAATGATAGCAGCCTAGCCTGTTGGTATTGAACAAGAGAATGAAACAAGTTATTTATATTTTGTCCAAATTGCCTTATTTTATGGATTGACTAAAACATCACAATACGAAAGCAAAACCTATTGACTATTTCATGTAATAGCCTTACTTTTTGTTTTGTTCTTTCCTATATTAAAATACAAATTATTTCCTTCTCCATAGTGAAACCATAAATGCACCGATTTTCTATCAGACCAGAGCCTGAAAAAAAAATTGCTTTTAATGTTTTTCTTGGCATTCAGACATGACACTGCTATACACAATCAGAGCATGAGTTCTGAGTCATTTTCTCTAATTGTGATGAATGCGCCTCAATTTAGTTACATTCTGAAGCCTGAGATCCTTTGTCAACAGTGGGCCACATTAAAGAGACAGCTGGTCAGTAATAAAAGAGATACACATGGGTATACAATTAACTAGGTAATGTACAGAATATGATAATTTATAATTTAAGAAGACGGTCCGGTATATAGCTAAAATATGTGATCCCTGGTCATGTTTGTTATTCTTCATCACATTATCAAAAGAGATAGTCTGCTTTGTTGCTTTTTTTTTTAATATAGTAAACTAAATAATGGGAAGCAAATTTTCTGATACCAGGTCTGGTGCAGATACATCTTTGATAGCAGTGGTAGTCTCCTTTTGTATCTTTTGATAGAGCCAAAGGTTTTGTTATACATTCTAGCCTGTATACCAAAGCATTGATGTGAATAAAGCCCAAACAGCTTTATTTTATAATTCTGAATATTTTAGACACCTTAACCACAAGTAGCTGTAGGGAACCACATGCAGATTCCATGCTATGTTCACTGTTGTGTTGTTACCTAGGGTCTTCCTGGTGAATTTGGTCTCCCCGGTCCTGCTGGCCCAAGAGTAAGTACCACTTAGTTCAATTTCACTAACATTTGACAACATTTTAAAGGAAGTGGTGATTGCCCCCTGGTCACCACCCTTAAAAAGAGTTCCTAGCCTTGCCTATAAACACCATTAGGTTTCTTAGTTAATAGTAAAAGTTTCTGGCTGGTTGCTCATATTTTCTATTCAGTAGCTTTACAGTTACAAGAAACATAAATGAAAAAATGTGCTATAGTAAACAAGTTATATAGACAAATGTGATGTGCTTATTATGGTTGCTATTTTTTGAGCCCAATAAACTAATACCTTATGTCTAAGGTATTTGTAGAATGTGTTGGTGTTGAGAATCTAAAGCTAGATTCATAAGTCTAGTTTTGTGAAGGAAAAACCACTTATTTGTCTATGCATATTGGCATAGCTAGAATTGTTGGTTGCTCTTTTTTTTTTTTTTCTTTTTACGGCTTTTTTCTTTTTTGAATCAATGTATCCCATTATGTTGTTAATTACCACATACCTAGGAAGCCAGAAGTTAATTTCAAAAACCCAATCGTGTCATAGAACAAGTTAGAGCTAGATTCTTTGATACAATTACAATGTGGAACTATGTGATAAATATTCTGGGCCATAACATGTAATGTTGTGGTGATGTTTAGATGTAAATTCAGGGGATTCAGCTAAACTGACACAAATGAACACCCACACTACGTAGATGGCCTCTGTTGACTATGTAATAACATCACTGGTACCGTAAAGGGGGCAGTGATGTGAGAACAGAACCCTATCCATGCATGACATAGCTGTTCAACTAAAACCCCACCATCTATCCTTTGATTACTAAGCATGTCTGACATCTGGCTTTGTCTGTGACTGCAACACAGAAAAGATACTCCCCTTAAAAGCAAATGGATTCCAAAGGTTGCTATAACGTTTCCAACACAACAAAATGTGGAATTGTAGTCCCAGAACATTAGAAGCATATGATATCTTAGAGATTATCTCACGCCTTCCATTATACCAGGAGAAAAATGAGAGGTGAAAAAAACATGTTAATTTTCTAAGCTGTGGTAGAATCTGATCTAAAACTCTAAGCAAGTAAGGATGAGTCAGATCGTGCCTGGGAGTGATTTCTCATTGCTGTCTTACAGGGAGAACGTGGTCCCCCAGGTGAAAGTGGGGCTGCTGGCCCTTCTGGTCCTATTGGAAGCCGAGGTCCCTCTGGAGCCCCAGGGCCTGATGGAAACAAGGTAAAACTATACTTTATGGATAGATGGAATGGGCCTGTGTATTCCAGAATAAGGAGAGCTGGTAAAAGAGTGAATATTTGTACAAAATTTTATCTCCAGTGTAGCGAATTCTACCTCAGTTACTAACAATATGACTCCAGTGGATATTAATTATTCCAAAAGAAGAGATTTGAAGAGGGAGAAAAATCTTTGCTCTAGAAGTCAGCAATGAATTAATATGGTTTTACTCTTTTCTGGTTACGCTATTTGTGCTTTTACATCTCGAACCATCCTTTACATTTATAGAAAGGTTTTTTTTTCTCTGTCTGCATCCAACCCCATACAGTAAAATTTCTAAAAGTAGTCTAGATTTTAATAGTAGAGTTTATAATGATTTAAATTAAGTAAAAACTACATTTACTCTAAACATTTGTGTTCCAAAGCAGATTTCTAGTTTAGGTTTTTAAAAAGATAAGATTATACATCTCTGAAAACCAGGAAACTCATATGACTCCCAGTTCTTACCTTCCAGGGGAAAAAAATGCGAAGAGTAGTTTTAAAAAAGATATTTCATTATGTGGAAAGCTATTAGAGGGGAAAATGGAAACAACATAAGAGGGAAGAGAAGAAAAGAATATGGTGACATTCAGTGCTGCTTTTGAAGGGATCTATTCATCTCAGTAGCTAGCCAACAGATTTTATGTGTAGGGAATTGTGAGGCTTAATATAAAAACGAAAGCTACAGTCTTCACTCTCATGGAGACAATCATCTCCCAAGCTGATGAGGTCTTTTTCCATGTCACTTGCCTAGGCTAAGAGACTTTTCATTGAAAAGGTTTGTGGGCAAACATTTTTCACTCTCTCCTGTCCATTGTCCCATCTTCTTCTCTTCTGTGCCTGTCTTCCTGAAGAGGATGAGGTACAGATTGTAGAAGAATAACAGCCACCCACTCTCCATGCTCTTCTCTTGAGTCATCGTGTCACTAATAGCAGCCCCCTGTTACATCCTTCCTCCTTTCAGCGCCTCCTTTGTGTCTCTAGGCAGCCAAGAATGCCACCCATTAAGTGTATAAATTGGAATTCTTCAAGAGTTTGAGTCTTGGCTTTCTTCTTTTGCCTCTGAAATAATTGATTTCACGTGGTTTTGATTCCAGGGTGAAGCTGGTGCAGTCGGTGCTCCGGGCACCGCTGGGGCCTCTGGTCCTGGTGGGCTTCCAGGAGAGAGGGGTGCTGCTGGCATACCTGGAGGCAAGGGAGAAAAGGTACCACTCAGTGCTGGACCGTGATATATAAGGTCCATGAACTCAGGCAAGAAGGCTGTGCAGGGATGCGCCATTGTTTACAGTCCTTAGCAGGCGGCCTGGTAGCACCTTTGCATGTCTAAACTCACTAATCTGGCAAAAGTCCTCGCTACCATGGAATTTCATGCAAACAGATGGTGTTGAGTAATACATGAGGCTCATTTTAATGCCACCGACAATAATGCCTCATCCTGCCCTACTTAATGGAAGGAGCTGTATTGAACAGCTGTCGACCGTGCTACGGCATTCGTTGCTGTAAGAGTGACCGGGCACCGCAGCCCGTGGCCATGCCATTCCATCCTCATCTACTTGAAACTTGCTTCATTATGAATCAGAGGGATATTTATTCGTTAATATTCAATAATATTCTGAAAAGGCCCTTGAAAGATGAGTTTCATACTGTTTTCTCTCTCTCTCTCTCTCTCTCTCTCTCTCTCTCTTTCTCTCTCTCTCTCTCCCTTTCTCTTTCAATGTCCTATGGGGCGGGAGGGAATTGAAAAACACTAAAATTCTTAAATGTTGGTCGGCATTATAGAAACTTCTGTAGAAGTTCTTACAGTTCATGTCCACTCAGGAGTTTAGTCGGAAAGCAAAACGTGGCTCTTGCTTTTTACTTACAGGGTGAGACGGGTCTCAGAGGTGAAATCGGCAATCCTGGTAGGGACGGTGCTCGTGTGAGTAGAATTTTGCTTTTAACATTTGTTCTTAAATTATTTGTTTGTATCTTATTTAGCAAATTTACGAAGGAGAACTACAAAAGAATTCAGTTTTAGTAAACTTGCAATCCTCCACTTCCTAGGTCACTCATAATATCATTTTACATGCCCCAAAAGAAAATTTAAGTATAGCACACCTTTGAAAATCACATCTTGATATTTTTTTCTACCTTCTTTAGTGTTCAGTATGCCAACCCTAAATTGAATGCCAAAAGCTGTAGGTTTAGAATATGGATTGCTTTGTTGTAAGTCACAATAGGACTTTTAGAAAAACAGTTCTTACATTTCAAAAGGCCACAACCTCCAGCAATACCCGACTACCAATTCTTCTGCCGCAGGATTGATCTAAGGCAGCCTCGGAGATTAGCAATGACTACCATAGGTGTCACAGATGACCCCCAGGAAGTATAATTGCCTTCCTGAGCTGCCAGCACCGCAGCACTTCCTCCTTCTGTCACCTCTCCCTCTCCAAGCTGATAACTCGCTGTAACACATTCCTGGTATTCTTTGCCTTGAGTCACCAAATCCTCACAGTTCCAAATAAGGCTACTTCTGTGCTTCCCTCCCGGGGACTTTACAGGAGTGAGAGAGTCCAGAACTTCCAGATCCCTCTCCTGCCCTGGCCTTTCACATTTCCATAGCCCTTTATCAGCTCTTTCCTCAGGTGTTATACAGTTCCTTCCTCCTGAACTGACTTCTTGATAACCAGTACCAGCATGGATCAGGGGCTTTCATTTTTCATTATTACTACAAATGTGTGCGTGTGTGTGTGTGTGTGTGTGTGTGTGTATGTGTGTGTGTGTGTGTGCACCCCCTTGAGTGGATACGTCCCTGTATCCTGGCTAAATGTGGTGGTCAAAGGACAAGTTGTGAACATGGCTTCTCACAAGTGGGTCTTCCATGGATCAAACTCAGAGTCATCAGGCTTGGTTGCAAACACTTTCCCTGCTGAATCATCCTGCTGGCCCCCTCACGAGCTTTCTTGATGTCCTGCCAAAATAAGCAATACAGGTGTTCTGACACTCCCTGAACAGTCTGGATGGTGTGTGTCGTTTTTAGTAAGGCTCGTTTCCCTTTCGGGTCCTAGGGTGCTCCTGGTGCTGTAGGTGCCCCTGGTCCTGCTGGAGCCACTGGTGACCGGGTAAGTGCATTTGAAACGAGTTGTATACATTTCCATCGAGTTGTAACTCTCTGAGCTGATAGCAACGTCTAAAATTCCCTGCTTGCCCCAGTCTCAAAGTGCCTTGGCAATTCATTTCTATCTGGCTCTAAAGCCTACTTATTTAAAAGAAGAAAGAAAGAAACAGCAGTGCAGCAGGGAAGCAAATGCTGCTTGTTTGCTGTTCTCTCTCCCTGCCTATGGATGTGCCAGCTGTCTGATCTATACCTTAATCCCTATCATTTGTTCTAAAGACTTTCCCTGTTGCCCATTAACAATATCCTAATGCACTGAGCCTTCTCAAAGCCTTCAATTGTAAAAAAAGAAAAAAAAATCAATAAAATACATAGTGTGCCCATTTTACATCGAGCAGCCCATTTAAAATAGACCTTATTTATTGTATTGCAAAGATTGCAGCAAATAGATCAGTCCTATATCCATCTAAAAATTAAAATGTCCTCCTCCGGGTATTATGGGGACTGATTTATAGTGTTTCTGCAAGTGAACAACCACTACCATTCCACCTTTTAAAATGAATCCGGCCTTAAGTAGAGGAAGAATTCACCTCATTTTGTTCTCTGAAATGTCCATTAGTCTCTTCCAAGGTAACTGCAGACTTTGAAAATGGCCTTCTCTCTGCTGCTCTTCCCTCTTCCTCCCGCCATCTGCATGAGGCACATTAAGCCACTCATCACTGGTCTTTGGTGCCATTACAGGGTGAAGCTGGTGCTGCTGGTCCTGCTGGGCCCCCTGGTCCTCGAGGTAGCCCTGTAAGTAGAAACCAGAGCTTTAGGGATACCGCTATGTCATGGTTTACAGGCATCCATGAAGCTACGAATGTAACATCTTTATCTCCCACCTAGGGTGAACGTGGTGAGGTTGGTCCTGCTGGCCCCAATGGATTTGCTGGTCCTGCTGTGAGTATCACATAAGCGAGCTTCATCTGACATCTCAATGAGTCAGAAGGCCATTGCTCACTGCTCTTCCTTCCAACAGGGTGCTGCTGGCCAACCTGGTGCTAAAGGAGAAAAGGGAACCAAAGGGCCTAAGGGTGAAAATGGTGTCGTTGGTCCTGCTGGACCTGTTGGAGCTGCTGGGCCATCTGTAAGTTGAATTCACTGTTGATCAACATACCCAAGCATTTTCATAATCCAATACGTGCCTGTTAAGTGCTTACTGTCTACTAAGCATCTCAGATAAAGGTATAAACGCACACACATACATATATGTGTGATGTAGATAGATAGATAGATAGATAGATAGATAGATAGATAGATAGATAGATAGATAGATAGTTTTTTGAGACAGGATTTTCTGTGTATTCCTGGCTTTCCTGAAACTCAGTCTGTAGACCAGGCTAGTCTCAAACTCAGAAATCTGCCTGCCTCTGCCTCCAAGTGCTGGGATTAATGGTGTGTGCCACCACACCCAGCAAGATTTTGTTTTTTGAGAACTCATGTTTAAACGCCACATTGTACAGTTTTGTGAATATATTATTTCATGTGACACAGATAGTTGTATTTCATTCCTAAATTTTCTTCAAGAGTAGAAGGGATAGATGAGAATGTGTCATCTAAAAATAAGAATAACATTTGTAAGGGTTACTTGTTTTGTGAGTTGATGCCACTTTATTTTTGCTTGTATTTAGGGTCCAAATGGCCCCCCTGGTCCTGTTGGAGGTCGTGGTGATGGAGGGCCCCCTGTGAGTATTTATAATTGACTCATCACTTTTCTTTCTTAGCTACTTACTAGTGACAGTTTGAAAGTTTTAGAATTTTGGTAAGTTTGAACTGTGAAGAGGGGCGGGTCTTGAGAGTTAACTTCATTCTAATCCAATCAGAAAAATTATGAAGTTAAACAGTACTGAAATTAAAGACAGCTACGTGGGCATGAACTCAATCTCAGTGGCAACTCAATGCAACAGAGGTGGCTGCTGCCATTCTAAGGGAAATAAGTAAGGTCAAGCCCAGGCAGTTTAACTGGGAAATAGATAAAATGTTTCTCTAGTCCCTCTTATCCTTTTGTTAACATCTCACTTCTGACTGACCAAGTCTCCTCATTCAGGGTTATCACCCCAACTCTCTAGAGACTCAGACTACCCTAAGAATGAACTCCTCTGATGTTTTCCCTCCTTACTCTGGGTCATTTTTATACTTCCTTCTATGAACAACACTCCTTTTTCTAGTGTGCTTTCCCTCCCACCCAGCCAAGTGGTCAATAAACATTCATATCTCATAATGAAAACATCTTATATTCCCCCATCACCATCAGATAACCCGTTAGCATTTCAAAAAGTACCAACAATCTTCATGTAAAATATGGGCATTACAACTAGTACCATACTTTTAAGATGTATAGAGGGGAGCCTTCAGGACCCCAGGTTAGTGGTCCCCTTCTTGAAGCTGAGTGCTACCTCTTCTGTGGTCCATCTCTAGTCCCATGATGCTTTTCCAAAGGAAAAATGTCTGTCTTATCCCAATTCTTGGTATTGATTTGACTGTGGAGTTTTAATGTGCTTGGTTCTTAGGGTATGACTGGCTTCCCTGGTGCTGCTGGACGAACTGGTCCCCCTGGACCCAGTGTAAGTACATGATGCTAAAGATATCTTCATTTTCACTTAGCATAAGACTGGGCCTCTTGTAGGAAGTTGAGGCAGTTGAGAACTATCTATTAAAACAGATTATTAATATTTTCTAGTAAATTGCCAGTTTAAAATTATCTTTTCTGAATGATTAAGACAAAATCATTACAAATGATATTTTAAAATATCAATATAAGTAGCTGTTATTTATATAAATACCAGCACTCTTTGGAATGCATAATCTGTCTTTAAAGAGAAAAAAAAGCAACAATAAGGCTTTGGTCACATATCTGATATTTCTATATCTAATTACTCTTTATAGCTAACATTCTGCCTCCATTCTAAGGCTATAATTGTTCCTGAATTTAAAGGTAGTTTGTCCTCTAATTTAATTCTTATTCAAACCCTCCTGTCAGGGCTCAAGAGAATTTAATTAATTATCAAGGATTAAGTATTCCAGTTAAAGTTTCAGGGAAAAAGAAATAGCAAAGATGTTGATTTCTTGGAATTTTTTTTTTTTTTACGGATTCATAACAGAAAAAAATTCATTCCTTGTAGGCATTTAATTAAACCTAGTCAAGAGCGTATGCAGTTTCTCAGTTCTGAACAGAATGCCAGGGTTGGTTTTGCTTAAGAAGAAATGGCCAGAGGCTGCAGGAATCCTAAGTTCCCTTCAACTAAGACTTAATCAACAGACTTAAATCTCCTCTCGGTTCTGATTCCAATCTACCAGGGTTCCAGTAATATAACATGCATTGCCTTCATCACACTAAAATTTCCCCCTGACTCTACCTCATCAGTTATCTTTATTACAGGAAAGAATTGCTTCTTCCTATGAGAATCTTAAAAGTCCCAAAAATGGCTGGGGTATTATTTTTCCTAGTGGCATTGTTTGAGTCCTAGTGTCTAGGAGCTGTGCAGCCCACCCCCTCGAGGTCTGTAACAATGAACAGAAAGCTAATGACCTAACACATTTGATCACAGGGTATTACTGGCCCTCCTGGCCCCCCTGGTGCTCCTGGTAAAGAAGGGATCCGTGGCCCTCGTGGTGACCAAGGTCCAGTTGGCCGAACCGGAGAAACAGGTGCATCTGGACCCCCTGGATTTACTGGTGAAAAGGGTCCCTCTGGAGAACCTGGCACTGCAGTAAGTGATTTCAAACTCCTTTTCCTCAATACTGACATTGGGTTAGGATAAAGCCCCTTTACAAATCCTCAAGTGGCATACGTGTATTAGTGAGTAATGCAGACTCTCAGGTTGAGCTCAGTTGAGCCAGGAAATCTGTCCAGCACTCGAGAAGGTGTCGTGGCGACAGCAGAGGCACCAAAAGTGCGTAATAGGAATGACAGAGAATGAGGAAATGCAACTTCACTGTAACAGCCCTTTCTGCTCTCAGGGGACGTAAGAATTAGAACAGAATCCTATTGCTGTGGCTCTCCTTCTGTAAATTAATCGAGCTCCATAAGCTGCTGGTCCCCGAAGCATTCCTGGTTCAGAGCTACTGCTGTTCTGAAAGGTGCCTGTGTTAGACTTCAGAAGCCATGATCAAAATTGTCTTCCTTGCATAAAAATTAGATTCCCCCAACCCTACACACACACAGTGATTTTATTAATCTCAACGACATATAAACATACCAAAATGTAAACTTACTGTCATCTCCAGAAAAAAAAAAAAGAGAGAGAGAGAGAGTAAAAAGAAAGCCATCCAAGGATCTGCCCCACCAGTTAGAAGTCACTGGCCTGTTCCTGAGCTAGGCCCCCTCGTTTTCCCAGTCCTTGAGCTAAGCTGTATGATGAAATAGGGTCTTACCAGTAATAATCAGTCTATGTTTTCTCTCTTGTCTAGGGACCCCCTGGCACCGCAGGTCCTCAGGGTCTTCTTGGTGCTCCCGGTATTCTGGGTCTCCCTGGCTCTAGAGGTGAACGTGGTCTTCCAGGTATCGCTGGCTCTCTGGTGAGTGAGTGCTTGACACCATTCTGATTCTCATTAACATGATAAAGGATCTTAAAAGCTGCCACTTCAAATATGACAGATTGATCACTGAATAACTCCACTTAAGATGTTTTATTATTATTCATGGCATTTTCTTTATACAGATCACATGCCACTTATCTAGGAAGCTTTAATACTACCTTACTTAGACACACACTATAAAGACACAGCTTAACATTATGCAGAATGATTTTTGTTCTTTCTACATGCTTAAGAATGATATAAGCTCTAATTGCATTTACTTCCCTGCAATGTGAAATGTTAAGAAGAATGGGATTCTGGAAGTTTATGAATCATTCCATTTAACCCTATACTTGACAGCAGCTAGGAACCATCTTTTATACAGAAACTATCAACTTCATGAAGTAATTCTATTTGGGATGTTAGGTGTCATGAGACCCTCCCTGGCCCCCATACACAGCCACATCCACACCACTGACCCACAAGTGTGGTGAAGACACGGCAAGGGATGATAGCAGTGGTGATTTCTACCACGCTGTGACCCACCTATAGTCAACTTACCTTTCTCTTTTAACTAGAGTTTCTTGGGAGGTTTTCTGGGAGGTTGAGGTTAGAAATCTCTTCTGATAGTGATGTTATTTTACCTTCTCTACCACTTTAGGGTGAACCTGGTCCTGTGGGCATAGCAGGCCCTCCTGGGGCCCGTGGTCCCCCTGGTGCTGTGGGTAGTCCTGGTGTTAATGGTGCCCCTGGCGAAGCTGGTCGTGATGTGAGTACAACCCTTTGTTGTAAGTAAAACCATGAAGGATACCATCCTGTGTTAGCTTCTAGTGTTGGCTTGAAGTCTCATGTTACGAGCTACTAAACTAGACCATCTGCTTCTCTATAAAATGACCTTTCTTTGCAGTAAGACTATGGGAATCACTTGGGTTTGGAAATGGTCTTTAAGTAGCATACTTTAAGTTGGGCCCCAAGTATTTAAAATTCTTCCAAAACAATAAGTTGGGAGGTTATTGCTCCTATTCTGTTTAACTGTCTGAACACTGAACAATGAAGGCAGAGTGGCGGCAACAGTGAGGCTAATAGATCACTGAAGCTCACGGGCATCTTGGTGTTCACGATATTCTCATAGGGTAACCCTGGCAACGATGGTCCCCCAGGTCGCGATGGTCTACCTGGACACAAGGTCAGTATACATTTTCATCATCTTCTATGAGTGGTTAAAATGCTGGCAGGCTGATGCTAAGCTTCACTTTTGCCTCTGATAGGGAGAGCGTGGTTATCCTGGCAACATTGGTCCTGCTGGTGCTGTCGGCGCTCCAGGTCCTCACGGGTCTGTGGGTCCTGCTGGGAAACATGGAAACCGTGGTGAGCCTGTAAGTATGGAAATCTTGTTACCCTCATGGACCTCACTATGAATTCACACTTGAGGGCAGTGGGGCCCTCAAGAGGAGGATCTTGAACTTAGCTCATGAGTTCTGTTTTTCTTTTCTGATTCACAGGGTCCTGCTGGTTCTGTTGGTCCTGTTGGTGCTGTTGGTCCAAGAGGTCCTAGTGTATGTACATGATGATGATTAACATTTAAGAATTAAGAGAAATAATTCCAAAGCATCTACTTAGTCAGTAGATAATATATAGGCTGGACTTTGGTACTTTAGTCCATGCTGAGAAATGATTCCGATGATGTCATTATTTTACGTCTATTCCACTTGTTTGTATTAGTTAGTCATAAGGAGGGAGCCCTTTTACGCACTGCTCAATTAATGATGGCCAGAGAAGATGGCATCCCAGTTAGACCTGTACATGCCTCGAGTTTCCTTTGCAAATGGATTAAACACCCCTCAAAGAGAAGTCAGTGATATTGTTCTAAAAGCATAGAAAACCATCTCTTTCTTTTCCTTTGTAGGGTCCTCAAGGTATTCGAGGTGACAAAGGAGAGGCCGGTGATAAAGGGCCCAGAGGTCTTCCTGGCATAAAGGGACACAATGGATTGCAGGGTCTTCCCGGTCTTGCTGTAAGTGAAATTTGACCATCTTGCATGAGTTCTAACCTGAATGACCTTCAGCTCAGAGGGTCCTTCCTCAGATGCCCACTGTTACTATGTAAAATGCCTTACCTCCATTCCAATCCATTCCAATTCTCTAGCTAAGTCCACCTCTCTCAGAGAGGATTCAATTTCCTGTTCTAACACAGAAACGTAAGGGTTAAAGGAGAAAGAAACATTCGTATATTAACATCTCCTGGCAACAGTGTCCTTCAACCCCACTTAAAATAAATATAATTAGAGGGATGACTAATATTGCACTGTTGAAATAGCTTGTGGAAAAAAAAAATAATTGAACATAATAGATATAATGGGAGAAAAGAGCCCCACTTTACATTTTCAATTTTCTCAATCCAGAGTCCATTGAAACTAAAGTTTTCTATTAAATTTGGGGGAAAAAAAAAAAAAAAAAAAAAAAGACTATCCACTGACATGTATTTTGAAAGTATGATTTTTTTTCCTCCATTCTCTTTTAAAAGGGCCTACATGGTGACCAAGGTGCTCCTGGCCCCGTGGGTCCTGCAGGTCCCAGGGTAAGAGAATCAAAATTAAAGTTCTTCTCTTGAACTAAAGAACAGTCCAGGCAGGAAGCCCTGGGCAACTATTACCTTGGGGTTTTGCTTATTCACAAACACTTGGTATCCTTCTTCTCTAGGGTCCTGCTGGTCCTTCTGGCCCTGTTGGTAAAGATGGTCGATCTGGACATCCTGGACCAGTGGGGCCTGCTGGTGTTCGTGGCTCTCAGGGTAGCCAAGGTCCCGCTGTAAGTATGGCTTGGAAAGATAGCTTAGAGCATCCCTGGTTAAAGGAATGTTTTCTTCAGACTAAACTGAGGAGACTTTCATAGCCTGTTGGAGTAACTCCACTTCAGTAGCTCTCTAAGAAGTTTGTAAACTGTCTGTCTATGATGGGCTTTTTCAATCTGTCTCTGTACGACTGAGATCAAGTAATTTATTTGCATGAGCTTGTTTCTTTTTCTCGTATTAGAACATGTTTTGATACAAAGCACATCTGAAAATTTCCTGTCCTGGCAGCCTCTTCCACCATCACTCCGTTTAAAACTGTCTCTCTGACTCTTACTTTATAGGGTCCTCCTGGTCCCCCTGGTCTTCCTGGGCCCCCTGGTGCCAGTGGAGGTGGATATGACATTGGTTTCGATGGAGACTTCTACAGAGCTGACCAGCCTCGCTCACAGCCTTCACTGAGACCCAAGGACTATGAAGTTGATGCAACTCTGAAATCCCTCAATAACCAGATTGAGACCCTTCTCACTCCTGAAGGCTCTAGAAAGAACCCTGCCCGCACATGCCGGGACTTAAGACTCAGCCACCCAGAGTGGAACAGCGGTGGGTCAGAATATTTAAACCACACTGGTCCCTCATACAGCGGGGCTTTCCAAAACCAATTTTTTACTGATGTTTATGATGAACATATATTTGGGCCCCCCAAAAAAATCTCTACTGTCAAAAATCATACCCAGTTAATGAACCATCATTTTCTTTGCTCCAGCCCACACTCACCCTTAAATATGCTGAGTCATTTATTTATTTATTCTCAGTACTGGGTGTTAAATAGACAATAGAGCTACATCTCCAGGACACATTTTATACTTTGTTCTGGGACTAGGTCTCACTAAGTTACCTAAACTGCCCTTGGATTCACTCGAGTCTTAGTAGGCCATTGATTTTTGATCCTGCCACCTTAGATAGTGTAAGTCTTGGCTGAATGTTTCATGAAGAAAGAGGGACTCTTAAAAATAGTCAGCCTTTTCCCATTTACAGTGGGATAGGTGATGTAAGAGCACCGTCACAATGTTTTCATAAGAATCAATGTTATTGACAAATTGTTATCAGAGCCTCAATTTGCAGTCAGAAGTTTACAAGCTGAGTTTTCTTTTCTGAAAAGATTACTACTGGATTGATCCTAACCAAGGATGCACTATGGATGCCATCAAAGTATACTGTGATTTCTCCACTGGTGAAACCTGCATCCAGGCCCAACCTGTAAGCATCCCAGCCAAGAACTCATACAGCAGGGCCCAGGCCAACAAACACGTCTGGCTAGGAGAAACTATCAATGGTGGCAGCCAGGTATGGAATCCTCCAAATCCTCCTCCTCCTAAATATAATCTTCTTAGGATCATTTGCTTTTTAATTACTTGGGCTTTAATCCTTTACCTCAGGGCTTATTTAAAAAAAAAAAAAAAAAACTGCTCTTTTCACAAGTTCCAATTCTATCCTAGATTGCACACTAAAAGATTGGTCACATTCATCTAATTCAACGTTATTATTCAAATGTGACTTAATGGGTAATCACTGGAGAAATGGCTAATGTGATTTCATGTAAAGGTGCACCGGCCAGCAGATAGCCCCCCAGCTATGCATATGTATTTCTGAATGTGAGCAGCTTTTCTGAATTTTTAATCAAACCTTTCCACTGACGTTAACGCATGACACTAGAATCCAGTATGTTACAGAAAACAGAATGAGGTTTGACTCCATCTCACATTTGCAAAATACTAATGAAGGGACATTCATGGTAATGTGCTCCTGCCTTTCTTTTCATGACCTTGCTCTCACCACGTAGGTCTTAAGGTACTTAAAGCAACAGAAGCTTTGACAAGGGTGTTGTCTCCTTTAAAAGCACCCTTTTCCTAAGCCCCAACTACCATGCCATTATTTCTTCTTCTACCAGACTCTCTTTATTTGAGTTTCAGGCTGAGGCATCCACTTAAGAGTTTTCACCTTCTTTTCTATAGTTTGAATACAACATGGAAGGAGTGACTTCCAAGGAAATGGCGACTCAACTTGCCTTCATGCGCCTGCTAGCTAACCGTGCCTCTCAGAACATCACCTACCACTGCAAGAACAGCATCGCATACCTGGATGAGCAGACAGGCAGCTTGAATAAGGCTGTGGTTCTGCAGGGCTCCAATGACGTCGAACTTGTTGCTGAGGGCAACAGCAGGTTCACCTACAGTGTCCTCGTAGATGGCTGCTCCGTAAGTAATGGGGAAATGTCAGAAGAACATTTTGGGAAGTGGAGTGATGGGTTCTAGCTTAGACTATTAAATCAAGAGATGAATGCGAGACCTAAGTTAATTGGCCTTTCTTTTATGAGCACATCTAAATTCACCCAACCATTCGGTGCTACGTACAGGAATTCTTTTTAGATACTTTCTTCTAAGCAACTCTAACATCCTGAGCTGCCCCCATGCTTTCCCTTCAACATTTAGAGCTCTTAGATATTAGTATATACTTAAAACTTACTGAGGTTAAAAACTCTTCAGTTACCCCCGGAGTATGACCTTCACTCAATTTGTTTGTAAAATGTTTTCTTATAAAAGAAAAGTATGTAGCCTATTTTATATAACGTGCTATAAATAGAATGAAATATAAAATGTAAAGCTACTGTATACCTACCAAACTCTACACATACGTACACACACAAGATACGCAAACACACATACCATGCGCACATATCACACACACCACACACACACACACACACAGCAACTATATGCGCACCCTGGAAATTATGTTATAGCAAGGTCACAGGAAGGTGTGTCCAAATGCGTTTGGAACTAATCCTGAGTGAGAACCCTTTCCTGAAAGATATCCTTGACACTGAATGTCAACAATGAACTTCTTAATCAGAAATACACCTTCGGAAATGTATGGACCCGCCAAACAGTGGCTCTCATAAATGCTGATGCTTAAATTTAAGTCAGGTGCAGAGGTAATGCTGCCTTACCTATTATCTTCCTTCCCCAATATTCTTTCTGAAACAGAAAAAGACAAGTGAATGGGGCAAGACAATCATCGAATACAAAACAAATAAGCCATCTCGCCTGCCGTTCCTTGACATTGCTCCTTTGGACATTGGTGGTGCTGACCAAGAATTCCGTGTGGAAGTTGGCCCAGTTTGTTTCAAATAAGTGAACTCTACCTAAATTAAAAACTAAAAAAAAAAAATACCTGAAAAACCTTTCTCTTTGCCATTTCTTCCTTTAAAAAAAAACTGAAAGCTGAATCCTTCCATGTCTTCTTCTAAGCACCTAAATCTTAAACTGTGGGCGAAAGAGAAGGATTGGTCAGAGCAGTGTGCAATATGATCCAGTTAAGCCCTCTCCCCGGCCCCCCTCCCAAAATATTTGCAGTGTTGTTTTTGTTTTTTTTTAAACACTCTGACACCTGTTGTGGAAACTGTCAACCTTTGTAAGAAAACCAAAATAAAAATTGAAAAATAAAATAAAATAAAAAAAACCATGAACACTCGCACCACTTGTGGCTTCTGACTATCTTCCAGAGGGAAGTTTAGAACCCAAACTTCCAAAGGTTTAAACTACCTCAAGATGCTTTCCTGTGAGTGTAGACCATCTCGATGGGAGTTGACCCAGACAGACATGAACCGAGCTACTTGCTCTGTTTTGCTTGTGATACAAAGGTGCTAACAGTATTTTAGATACTTGAAGAATGCTGATGGTGCTAGAAGAATTACAGAAGAAATGATCCTCCATATTGAGGTGCATTGTGTGGATTTTTAAATTTGATATAGCAGCCTCCTATTTCCCATGGAGTCCCCAGCTAAAGGTATGCAGATCATTTGCCCAAAGTTTTCTCTTCTTTAGATTCAGCATTTGTCCTTTGCCAGCCTCATTTTCATTCTTTTCCCAATGGTTCCAAAGAAGTCTTGTTTCTTAGACAAGCAGAAAAATTAAATTGTACCTATTTTGTATATGTGAGATGTTTAAATAAATTGTGAAAAGTGAAATAAAGCATGTTTGGTTTTCCAAAAGAAAATATTGAGTAAAATTCCTTGCTTTGATGTCCTTTGCAATGTGAATATAGATCTTTACCAGCCATTAAAACGAATGTACCAGTCTTAAAAAAAATGTACCTCATTAGAAAGAAATGAACAAGGAAGGACTCGGGAGATCTTAGCCCCAGTTTCTGCTGTGCTCCTTGGAGCTAAGTGACCTTCAGCCTCTGAGTCTGGTTTTCTGCTTCCAACCTGATAACACAGGGAAGAATTCTGTCCTTTCTGTGCTGTGGTGCATTTGTATTCTTCAGAATACATGGTTCCTAAGCAACACGACGTTGTTGATCTCTGCTTTCTGAAAGCAAAGGTCCATAGAAACTTTTGTCTCATTATCCATCAAGCACTTTGTAACCATGGCTGAAAGCTGGTCTATGCGCAATTAATATTATTAACTAAAACAGTTTCAAATATTCAGTAAAAATGCCACACACTTAAAAATGACGCAACTGACTACAATGACTGTGAAGAGGTGATGTGTGTGCTGTCAATCAGGATAGACAGTTGTAGATAAGAGTACCAAGAACACCTCCTTGCCAAATCAAGTTCATTTTCCTCCCCTGCACCTTTTAATGACATCTTTAACACACTTAAACATAGTAACGTGTCAAGAAAAATGTTAAGATTCATTTAGAACTTATTCCCTGTTGCAGAACATAATTGTTATTGTAATATTTGCCTCCTGTTATAAGTCATCTTGAGATTCAATTAGTTTAAAAGCAAAGGGCTGAACATGAGGAAAATTTTAACATTAACACTAAAGAGTTAGCAGGATCTACTAGCCAAATGGTGACATCAAGTTGAGGCTTTTCTCCCACTAGAATCTGGATACCGGTGTGTTTGCTAAGGTGCAGAGTCATCCACCAAGCTTAGATCTCCTAAGGAGTCAGTGTTTGTACCTACTGTGTGCAATTCTGATTCTGCACCAAGCAGGAAACAATTTCCTAAGGTCTCTGCATGTCTGAGAAGAATATGTGCCCCAATCACACTAAGCTAAACTTCCTGTCATTAAAATGCAAGGATTCCCTCAAATTAATAATTGAAATAGCAAGGGCAAAGTTGTGTGATAAAATTGTTAGAAGTCTCTGGGTTGATTATAATTATGGCTTCTGGCTTGTGATATGAGGAAAAAAACCAGCATTTCATGACTACCAACTGTGGCTCAAATACCATGTTAGAATAATTGCATCTGAGCCTCCTCTCCCAATAGATTACCAAGTCAACAGTCTTAATAACTACTCCATCACCAATGCATAACAACATAAAAAGGAGAAAAGGAAAAATTAAATAATAACACATTTACTAGGTAGCAGTGAGGAAAGATGTTATAGTCAAGAAGTCAAGATACCAATAGAATAAATAGTTAAATAAAGTTTTGATATATCCTACTAACAACAATGAGGGTAGCTAAACAAAAGAAAGCCTGTCCTTAGTCGCTCCAAAAGGAGACCAACAGAGCCAAAAAAGAAACAAAAACAAAAACAAAACAAGTAAACAACAACAAAATTCAGGGCCCTGGAGGCCCTGCAGAGATTGATACCCCAACCAAGGACAATGCATGGTGAGAACCTAAACCTCAGCTCAGATGTAACTCATAGACTCAGTCTCCAAGTGGGGTCCCTAGTAAGGGGAGCCTGGGCTTTCTCTGACGTGAACTCAGTGGCAGGCTCTCTGATCACCTCCCTCTGCAGGGGGTAGCTTTGTCAGGCCACAGAGGAAAACAATGCAGCCAGTCCTGAAGATACCTGATAGACTAGGTCAGATATTAGGGGAGGAGGACCTCGCCTATCAGTGGACTAGGGGAGGGGCATAGGGCGAGAAGAGGGAGGAAGGGTGGGATTGGGAGGAGATGAGGAAGGGGTACACAGCTGGAATACAAATTGAATAAATTGTAATAAATGATAATAATAAAAGAAATATATATATCATACACACTATATATATATATATATATATATATATATATATATATATATATCACAAATAAAAAGCCTGTCCTTACAAATACATTAAACATACTTGTGAGAATACCAATAGTGGATGCTTGACAGTCATGTCAACCGTGGTTTTTATGCCCACCTTTTCCACATTTGCTATAATACAGTTTTATGAGCTGTATCATTTACCACAAATCATCTCAACAGAAATTAGTCGTCAACAAACCACAACCATATTGATGGAAGAGTGGTCCTCTCTAAGAATGAGCTATCCAGCTTCCCACTCAGCTTCTCGCTGAGAGAAGGAAGAGAGCACGCCTAGTCCCAGTTGCCCTGAGCAACGCTGGGAAGGATGCACAGGAGCACACCTCAGAGTAGCCTCCTCAAGGTTCATACAGCTCAGTTGCTAAGACAGAATAAACTGACCTATGGGTAGACGACGTGTTTTAGACAAAGAGCAGTGTAAGGATAATGGGGCACTATTAATCAATTAGAGGGGTCTCTTTGGAGAACAATCTCAGTTTCATACAAAACAGTGGTATTTGGCTAACTGGCCTCATTTATAGATTCCAGCTCTCCTACCAGCCCTCTCTGGCAAAATGCTTCTGCTCTAAAAACCATATATATGAACTTTTCATTATGTAACAACTCAACTGGTCCAAGGGAATATTCTTAGAGTCTGGGCTAAGAAAATAGCCATAGAGTTATGTCCTGAAGATCTGACCCTCCCATGATCAATCCTCTCTTCTAGGCTAACCGCCAACTGTAACAGAGTTTTCATGTGACTTTCTCTGACCCTTTGCCAAGTGAAGGTTAACCACCTCTACACTGTGTGAATTTGAGAGAGAAGAAAACGGCCCATGGGAGGGAGGGGGTCCTGGGAGGGGATATTAATCAAGTCATTTACAATTCAAAATCAATATAGTTAATGTACTGGCAAAGAGTAGACACCTGAACAATGCTAGATGCATTCATTATCTTTAATGTCAAAAGACTTTGGAAAACGCTATTCTACCTAATACCATTGAAAAGGAAATTCAGAAACTGGATTATAGATAAGAAAAGGTGGAAACGTCATTCTGGGTCAGAACAATAATCCATATAGAGCAGCGGTTCTCGCCCTTCCCAATGCTGCAACCCTTTAATAAAGTTCCGCATGTTGTGATGACCCCAAACCATAAAATTAATTTTGTTGCTACTTCATAACTGTAATTTTGCTACTGTTATGAGTCGTATTGTAAATATTTGTGTTTTCCAACGGTTTTAGAAGACCCCTGTGAAAGAGTCATCCAACCCCCCCCCCAAAGGGTCACAGCCCACGGATCTAGAACCGCTGATCTAGATGAAGACACTACTTTTGACAGTGGCACTAGGAAAAATTGGGAAAGAAAAAAAATAATAAAGCGGTTGGTGCAGCTCATGAAGCTAGCCCTAGAACTCTCGTTTAACAGCCTCGTTGTGAATCTTCTTTGTATATGGATCTATCTAAACCGTTGCAGAGCCCTCTGTTGGCATTGCAGTACCGACAGGTAAGAGCTAAAGACGAGGCGCTAGCTCCTCTGATAGGAGGTTTCCTAGCCCTGTGGCTGGACCGGCCAGGAATGCATCAATTCCGTACCGTCAGGGGGCGCTAGTACCCGCAGCAGTGGTGGAGCCTTAGACGGCCCGTGAGGCCTGACTTAGCCCTGCAGGTCAGGGAAAACCAGCAGGCAATTTGTGGTCAGAAACACGGGCTTACGGAGCCCCGGAGGCCTTGGGAAAGCCTCCTGCGTCAGGAGAAGATAAGAGTTCCGAGTCCGGCCTCTGTGCCCTTCCGTGGTCACGTCTACTCCACCCATGGTGCAGAATCCTGGGGAGCCCAGGGAACGGCGTCCAAAGTGCAAGCGGCACCACCTGTCTTCCGGTCACTAACGGTGGCGTTTTCAGGCCATATGTTTTACTCCTGGCCTTCCAACTTAGGGAGGGTCTTGAATTTTAAATTGAATCAGCACTGATCCTTTACTTGGAACGTATCTCCTGTACCTAAGATCTGAGACAGTAAACCAGGACGGCCCATGCTAAAACAGAAGTCTCTCTTTTGTCCTACTTCCCCGTGGGAGACCTTCATCTAGCACGCACACACACACACACACACACACACACACACACACACACGCTTGGCCAACGGGCCTTGGATTCTGTCACATCAAAATGACCCTATCCCTAGACCCTCTGTAAAGAAGAGCAAATAGAGCAAGCAATGGTCAGCCATTACTAGGTCCCTTTTAGATAAATCAAGAATTTGATGGTTATTTAACTTTAAAAAAACATTTAATCTGCAAGAAGACTCCAAGTTTGTAAGAAGCACGCTGATAGCGCATGCCTAACACAAGAGGGCGGGCGAAGGGGGGGTGGGCAAGAGCACCAAAGACATCCTGTGCTAAGTAGCAAGACCCCAGTTTTTAAAAGACAATGTTTCCCAGGAACTTTCAAATGTCTCATACCCTAGACTCCTCAACTGACTTCTCCTATGAAAAACTATTATTCTGAGTCCAAGTTATAAAGGCAATTTTGGCCACAATCAACGATCCTGCTGGAATCTAGAGATATACATATCAAACTGGAAATTATCATGTATTAAAATAAATGTATAAATACAAAATGTGTCTTATCATTGAAGTAAGGGCTGTTTTCGAGTGTAGCACTTGACCAACATCTTAATTAACCATTAAAAAGGTGAAAAGAAAACAGAGGCAATCTCCTTCTAATGGAATCCGTTAATGGGAGGCAAGATAAGATCATGAAGAAAAAAAAAAAAAAAACACCGCGCTACTGAATGGACGGACTTTACCCACAGAACGGCACTTCAAGTCCACTGCTCCCCCTGCTGGCTGGATAGTAGAATACCCCCAATGCAGACCATTTGAATAGAAACTCAGTTCCACAAAGGGAAACAAAAGCTTTCTTCCTCCTTGCCTGTCCCAGATGCGCCTCCTTTGCCCAGCTTCTTTTCTGGTATACTTCCATGCACTCACTTTCCCCTCTAACTCTTGCCTGTCCCCTCTTTT